TTAGCCACACAATATTGTTCTTGCTGAAGGCTAATTAGAATTCAAGCCAGCACAGTATCTGCTTTTGAGGATTACAGCAAGAACATTTGTTGTAATAAGAACCTCCAGGCAGCTAGTTTTGGTAATGATTGATTTGAAAAAATTTTGAAGGGGGAAAAAAAAAAGAATGAGAAAGTAAAGTCTGTCCCCCAAAATACTTATTTCCCTTAAGGATCGAATTTGAGTGTAAATTACAACATCTTGGTGATTATGATGAAAATGAACTACAATAGCAGGTTTATTTAAAACTCACAAAACACACCTTTTGGATTTTTTCCCCCTACCATGATTACCTTGTGAAATCAATTTGGGGGGTTTTACTGAAGGTTTCTTTATGACTGTTAGCAATCTCTTATTTCTGCTTAAATGCGTCTCCTAATTAGACTCTTAAATTACTCAACTGCTCAGACGTACTTTGGCCAGAGGAAATAATTATAAGTGACAAAAACATAATATTGTTCATTTAACCAGTATTTCTTTTTGGAATTCATTTCACAGTCTATGTTACTTCCCAAAACTTTCTTCTAGTGTTCTTAAATTGTGATTTAACATTTATGGACTCTCTTCTCCAATGGACGTGGAGGGTAAGCTATTATAAGGTTACCTAACACTATAGTTAATCCTAAAAATACCAAAGGCCATGTTTCTGTGCCTGTACAAGTTAGTTTTTATATGATTTAGTGTCAAGGATGATTTCATGTAAGGAGGTATAAGGAATTAGTTACTGTCTCATACCCTAGCCATCCTCAAGTTCTTGATCTGAATGTTAAATTTTCACTAATTTGGAAGCCAGAGGAAAAATATCAAGCTTTGAAGGAAGATAGGCTATAAGAATTTATTTGCCTCCCAAAAGATATTTTCTCTTAATATGTAACAATGTTTCTATTGTATTTGTCCCTACTGTATTAAATTCTGCTATGTAATTTTACATGTAACTATATAACAATGTTTACATTAAATGTTAATTACATTAATGTTACATTTAATGTAAAAATTTGGATAAACTAATTTTGAAGGGAAAATACATTGCTATACACACAGAAAATAGTCCAGAAGAACAGATGTTGTAAGTATGAATTATTTTATCTTTCTTCCTTCTTCATCCCTCATTTATTCAATAGCTATACTTATTGTTCATTTACTTTTTGAATAAGATCAGATAAACTGAAAATCTGTATTTGTAAGGGAAGTTACGAATTTCCAACATAACTGGTCAAGTTTTCTTTCTTCTTTACAAAACCACATTTAATGCCCAGAACACTGTATTCTTTCTTCTTTTATTCCTGGAGTAGGTTCTACGAAAGTGGGGGGAGAGTGTGATGTCATGTTTCAAGAGAAAGTAGGTTACCTTACTGTGCTTAAAGGTAACATCCCCCAGCACTGCAAAAAAGTTTTCTGAATTTATACCTACGAACCTATAAAGTAAAATTGATTTGAAGATCTAGATTCAGGAAAGACACTGTAGATGAGTGTGTCACCAATGTTTCCCAAAAGTCTGAGCTGCTCCAAGAGAATGAAGTAACAATAGCTCAAATTTATAGAGCATCTGGTGGAAGCTTGGCCATATTTTGGAGTGCGCGTACATTAACTCACATACTCCTCACAACAGCCTTTGGAGTTAAGTTCAGGAATGGTTTCCATTTTGGAAGGAGGCTAAAACACAGGCAGGTTATGTAGCTTGCCCAAGTCACACCAGATCTGCATACTGGTGGCCCAGTTCTTCAATCAGGGTTCTTAGCGACCACTCTTGTTCAATTAAAAGGGTAATACAATCATAAAAGGCATAAGTCACCTCATTACAAGTTTGAAAATAAGTGCAAACTTTTTTTTCAAACCAGAAATTTGAGTCTTACCCTCTTTAGTTAATATCAGAAAAACTAGTTATAAGTTTTGCCCTGTAAAATATATGTATTTATACAAATAATTTTTTGAGCTCAAATGTGATTCCAGAAGATCAACGTCTGCATGCTACACTGTGCATAATTTAATTTTCCCAGTTGAACATCTTGACGCTATATGAACCATGAATGCATGAAATAGGAATTCCAAATGTCTTCCACATGGTGAGAGACTTTCAAATACTTGTGCAGAAGCTCAAGGGCAGTTTGAAATTAAGTTATGCCTGCTCTCGGTGACTCTGATTCCGTATGCCTAAGGTATTAGCACTTCTCCCTGGTGGGACCTCGAGGTGGTAGATGGATGAGTCTGCTGTCTGTATTTAGGTGCTTTGCTCATTTCCGGAGAGCTGTGTGGAAGGCATTTGGATCTTCATTCTCTAAGAGCAACAGGTGGTGAATCAAAGCTTCCCTGGTATTCATGGCTGGTTTCCTCAATGTCTTGGGCATAACGGATGGCACGCTCTCTGACCCACTGGCAGATAAGGAGATGAATAGCAACAGGAAGTACTTCCAAAGTATAAACAAACACATGAGCCTAGGGAGATTCTGACTAGTGTTCTTGCTACTACTCACTCTAAATCCTTCCTTGTTGGTTTCCTCTTTCAAATATTGTTACACATTCAAACTATGAAATCAGGGTTAAATGTCCTGTGGCTAGTTATGCAAGATGTATTAAGGGAATAAAGGACATCCCAGATGAATGAAACTAGATGATACAATTATAAACTTTCAACTCCATGTTGGTAGATAGCCAGCAACCACAAAAGGCTGTGATGTTCTTAAACTCTCTCCTATACAGATTACTTCTTCATGATAAGCACCTATTACATCACTCACATTGTGAGTTACAAAGCGAAGAAACTTATGAAACTAAAAATAGAAGTTGTGATTTAAATGGAACACTGGCTACTTGTACTTGATAATTTTCTACAAAGTCTCTCTCATGAAGATATTTTGTTGATTGATAGCCTCTTGTCAGACAGTCACTAGTCAGATGCAGAAAACAAAAGGAATTATCAGCTACTTGAACTCTACAGACATGTCTGGAAATATGACCAGAGGCATAAAAGCATTTGCCGGAGGTGGCAAATCACCAACCTCTTTCCCAGTCTGGAAAAATTTGATACACAGATGACCAGGGAAATGCTGTGGGGTGTTTTTCAAGGTGGAAGATAAAATATAAACCCCAGGTCAGGGCAGCAAAAAGGAGTGAAGGGGGTTGTTTTATTTGCTTCCAGCCCATGTTTCCCTCAGCAAGGATGGCTGGGTTTGGACACAGCTGAGGCCCTGGTGCGAGCATCTAAGCGCATGACCTGGCCAAGGCGCTGCCCTTCCTCTCCAGCCCGCCCCTATTACAATGCCGCCAGGTACTCTTAACTCATGCAAACTATACTTTTCTTATCTTTGTTTTCAAAAATGTATGATTTTCCAATATTTGTAAAAACCTTTTAAATTGACTCTATAATAGGAAATCACAGATTGAATTTATGAAGTTATTTTTACTCAATAGCAAATGATGAGGAAATGACTGATTTGTTGGTTACTGGTCATTGGGTAAGTTGATTCCTCCCCCTCTTAATTCTGTTCTGTAGTCAGAGTTAGGTTTTCAGCTGTCTTTATCTGACTATTAATTCAGTTACTTTATATCCCACATATTAGTGACACCATCCAGTATTTATCTTTCTTTTTCTGACTTATTACTTTGGAAGCAACCTAAGTATCCCAGAACAGATGAATGGATCAAGCAGATCTGGTATAGATACTATTTAACAATCAAAAAAGACAAACTTAAGTCATTTGTGGCAGTATGGGCAGAATTGAAAAAGTTGATACTAAGTGAAGAAAGTCAGAGCAATTACTATTTCACTAAAAAAGTGAAAGACTTCTACTTAAAAGACATACCACATTTCTATGATGTTAGTCTGGAACCATCAAATAAAAAGTCAAAACCCAAATTTCTGAGTGCCAATCTTGAATACCAAATATACTCAAAACATGCCTGTTAATTATGCCAAATATCTGATAAAACATTATGCATGATACAATATGATGTTTGGGAATTCAATACCCAATAATATTCATATTATTTCATATTAAGCACTTCAAACACAACCTTTAACAAACACAACCTTTATGTTTGGGAATTCAATACCCAATAATATTCATATTATTTCATATTAAGCACTTCAAACACAACCTTTAACTGAACAGTATCAGCTCTTACACAGAAACTAGGAATCTGAATTTTAGAATGTTCCTACGTTTAAAGTGGTGTATGTATGATGAGAACAGAATAGTGAAAAATCTACTTGAATTATGTAGATTCTATCATACTTTAGGGCTAAGAGAAAAGTTTAAAATACAAAGCTTATTTTAGAGGAGAGAACACAGCTAAGTCAGAAGAACTTTTAATTTGCCAGGTACCAGGTGAAAATTTTTAAACTTGAAAAATGTTTCTTATCATTTTTAGATGGTTTTAAAACCATGCTTTCAAAAGAGGCTTTACACAAGTATTTTCCAAAGATAGGTTTTTTAAAAAAGTTTATGGGAAAAGTAGATAGGTCAAATATTTTAGTCCTATGATTTGTACTTTGCAGTGCAAATTATTGACAGGAAGGGGAAGCAAAGGCATTTTGGAGGGATTATTATAGTGAGTGAATCACTAAAACAGCTGCCTGAATGCTAGATTTATGGGGACGTTAAGGCCTTCAGTGTGGTCAAAATCTGATAAGATCTTGAGAATAAAATTAAAACATGAAGGAGAGAATAGACTTTATAGAGTTCCTATGATTTCAAATAAAGTGGCACTTAACATTATTAGTGGGGTATTTATATTAAGGTGAAATTGCAGAATATATAGCCCAGATAGCAATGGTAAACTAGCCATGTCTGTGCTTCATTTCTATGTGAAATAACTGAACTGGCTTAGCTGGCTGGTGAAGTCCTAAAGAACAGCACGGTATTTCTACTTTTCACCGCCCCCCTCCCCCCAACATTCCTCCAATTTTGGTGATGCTCACAATTACAGTTCTAGGAAACCAAGGCTATCAGCAAAGTATTTACCTTTATCCCTGGAAGTCCAGGCAGCCCAGGAAGCCCGGGTTCACCCTACATAGGAAAATCACACAGCATTATAGAACAAAACCCATCCAGCCACAGGATATGAGAAGAGCACGCAGGTTCTCCCAGGATGCTGGTTGCACACAGATGGACACTGTCCAGTTTCAAGAAGCTTGGTGAGATTACCCAGCTCAGTCAACTCTTGATTCAGGGATTGGTGGACCATTTGGCACAATTTTCAGGATCCTCCTACCCCCTGTCAGCCCATTGCCCACTGACATCTCCACCAGAAGGCAAAGAAGAGGAGTAGAAGGAGAAAGAACTCCTACATTTCACTACTTCCTGGTTAAGGATTTTAGGAGGAGGCTGAAGCTCTTTGGTGACATAAGGATTATGCAGGTATCTGAGTAAAGCATCCTGGTCCAGTGCTCTCTTACCTCAGATAATCAAGAGTTGGCTGTGTGAACAGATGGTCACATCAAAACAATATACATTAAAAGTCTTGCTCACTTAAAAGCATAGTAAGATTTCCTTTCCATTCCTGAATGATGAGAAGATAAATGCACGGTGAAGATTATACTGCCCTGTAGCCTGTACGTGTGGCAATTGCCGAGCAGGGCTAATGGAACTATGCAGCTGTTCCCCAGTGGAGGCTTGAGATTAAGTGGTACATTTTGGGTGAGCGCACTGGAGTCAAGCTAAGTCTCATTTTCACAAAATTGTCTACATTATTTTAAGTACAAAGTCTAGTTACAAGAGGTTACATTGCTGAGACAATCTCCTAGATTCTGCTAAAGTAGCATAACGGAGTAGCTGGAGGAAATGCAAGTCTGTTCTGTACTGGCTTGTGATGACTGTTACTTGTGGCAATAACTTTGCAGGCAGATGATATTTTGTGATGGTTGGTCAGGAGGATGACAACTATATTGAAAGAAAAGCAGGTATGGCATCATCTAAGTGTGTTAACAATGTCCTTTCCAAGAAGAACCTACTAAGTACAACCAGACATTTAATCTTCAATGTTACTACATTAGAATTATGAGGCAGCATAATTTGCTCTGGGTTTATCATAAAGTAACTTCAGATATTGTTTGTTCAGCTATATGGCTCGATGAAGGACAATGGTTTTCAAAGTAATTTGGATGAAAGGTAGTTCAGGAATGCAAATGAAAAACTACTCTCAAACTATCCAAATGAAAGTTTGCATTGGGAACCATAAGACTAAGACAACATCAAGCCAAAGAAGGATGATTATCAAAAATTTGATATTCTATTCAAAGAACACTTGTCAGAATAGATTAAACTATACAGAGATACGTCATATATTTGATGTTCTTTTTCTTTCCTTTTTGCCTTCAATAGATAAATTTAGGAAGGCCATGTAAAATGGTCTTCTATCCTTATTTGAATGAAGATTTTGTTCCTTTTTTAAAACAGTATGGAGTCCCTGAAAGCACAATAAATTGCTATAGAGCTGACAACTAATGAAAGGAAACATATTGGTGACAAAGCTATAGTTTATATTGTTAACAAAAAGTCATCCCAAATTCAGGACATTCTATTTGAGACACCTGTAGAACTATGTAGGTCAGAACACTTTCCCAGTAGCAATTATCCAAACTCTTCCCTCCCACCAAATTAAAAGGATTGCATGACTACTTTAGAGAAAGATCTTTTTATATGCCTATGTTTTCTAATAATAAGAGATATGTGAGAGATGGTGGAGTATTTTACAGTGTTGATTGAATACTACAGACATTTCAGCATTGAGCTGCTCCCTACACCTTGTGTGTGTGTATGTGTGTGTATGTAAATAGGTTGTAAATGTACTTTATAATGAATTTTGCTTCAGGAATTCATAGTTTAGAGTCTGGGATTTTTATAAACTTAACCTTTCTGAATTTGTTTACTCAAAAGTTGAAATATGAAAGATTATAAAATATTTCATGTTACCCTCTGTGGAACATCTCTTAACATTTTCGGGAAGACAACATTCTCCATCTTTACACGATGAAGATTTATCTGTCAATTAAGAGGGAGTTTTTTTGTTAACTGTTCCCTTCTTGCCAACTCCTTGACTCAGGATCTCCTGAGTTGAGTTCTTGGGTATACACAGCACAACATCACATCTAAGTCACAAATAAGAATAGGTTTGTTTTTCTACCCCAAGGATACTTGTCCAAGTAGATTAAAGCTTACACAAATACACCAAACTTCTGGCTGTCTGCTTACTTCCATTAGAAGTAACCCTGGCTGCCGTCAAAGTCAGGAGTCCACTTGCACCCATGTCCCTGTGGCCATCTGACCCTGAACTTTCAGAAACAATTCAACTTTGTCCATCCCTACCAATGGGTATAAAGAATTCTTCCTCCTTAATTAAAAAAGTACATTTTCCAATAATCTCAAAACCTGAAGACGGGAAGACAAGACTTATGCCATAAAACATATCACCTACCTTATAAATCTATACACTTAACAAACATGCTAACTTACATATGGATCACACACTCTGCTGTTCAGTCTTCAAGAAACCCCACTAGAATGAAACCATTTCTCCTCTATGAATGCTCCTCTAACTAACTTTCATACTGGACAATACTAGACAGTGGAAAGCAAATTGATAAGTTTTTCCCTGTTTCCCCAAATGCTCTGCTTTCGTGAGTATGTGGCTAACACAGGACCTTAAATACCAATGAATCGGCAAGGGTGAGAAAAATGCTAGGGAAGATCTCAATTCTGTACTCAGTTCTGTTTCTCATGTTCTAGTCTAAATAAGCAGCAAGCAGGGGCCTATGCTACTTTTGGGGTAAATACTGCAACTCCAGATATTAAACAAAGGAAGTCATAAATATTGTGGGAAATTGAGATTGTGTCTAAGGGTAGAATCTGGCCTAAATATTAATGAGGGAGATGTTCATTTCAGGGCACATATTCTTTCAGACAGGTTGTAAGCTTTTAATGACCCCGCCCTTCTCTCAATATAATTCAAAACAGATTTCTAATGAAAATACAAAGGAAATTCAGTTTTCCATATGCAGACCTATAAATTTCCTGAAATGAATCTAAACTGTGTTTCTCAATAATTGTGTAAGGCAATGATTTACTAAGCAATTGAAAATCAATTTGGATCTTGCACTCTGAAAACAGTGGAACCTATATGAGATTGCACCAGATTTGTTTTGTTTTAAAGGATAAAGCAGTCTTGGAGATATTTCTTTTAGATATTTCAGATTTGGAGAGCAGTTTAAATTTTGTTCGTAATTTTTAAGACTAAAGGACCTAAAATCAGATCATCTGAGAAGATTTGCTGCTTTTTTTTTAACCAAAGCAGACCTGGCATTTCTTTAACAGCATCATTAACTTCAAACTTCCTGCTTAAAGAATCACTAAGAAATAAGAAACCCAATAACAAAGCTTGCAAAATTCTTCTGAAATCTTTGAAAAGTTTTAAATTCACCTAATTCTTAAGTTCACGAGAAAAATCTATTTTAAATTTAGAGCAACTCTGAAAGACTTTCTCAAAATGACTGTGATCCCCAGGTTTTCAAACAAAGGAATGATTCTCTCAATGTTTTCAAGCATGTAGGAACATTACGTTATGGTGTCCTGAAGCTCCAATATACTACAGTGGGGTTTATTCTCTTTCTCTCTATGCTAATGAGATAAACTCCACCTTTCTACTCTTATATTTTTCCAAGACACCAACTATAGCTAGACAAAGGCAGGGTTATGATCGTAATAGATGAAACCTTCAGGTTTTCTGGTTATCAACACTACTTCCATCATCTAAAATCTTACCACACTGGGCATTGATATCAGATATTCAGACAATGAATGTCTAAGAGCGGCTTTCTGCCTTTGACTCAAAGAGAGAACATGAATCTAAATGTAGTAATGGCAAATTCTCTAATTTATCACTGAAGCACAAATAACAAACATAAAAAGCAGCATACATATCCACAGATGGGTTAAAGTGGTTAGTGTCCAATCAGTAGCTGAGTTATTAACAAGTGTCTTTGTATAACCTAATAAATTGCCTGCACGGGTAGCTGTGATTTGCATAAAAGATGATCAGTAGGGAACTATTTGCAATGAAAAGAAAATACTTTCCAAGGCACTGTCCATCTCTCGCTACTGAGCCAGTCTGTAAGTGCTCACAGGAACATGCATATACCCCTGTCCTGGCCGTGCAACGCTGCGGGTCCTTGTTAGTCTCAGACAGCTGAGTGAGGCAGACTTCAGGTCATAAAGTAAGTATCCTTAGACATGGACAGGGTCTGTTTTCACATTTTGCTGTGGCCAGCACCAATCCTTTTAAAATGCAAAATAATCAGTAACATCGCATGCAAAGCATCATTTTTGCAATCATGGTCTTCATATTACACAGTGGACAAGAGATACAAAATTATGAACATGAGAACACAAAAGGAACACATCAGAATGGAGAGATTACCTTTTGCCCTGGACGACCAGATTCTCCGGGTTCTCCCTGACCAAAGAAAATCAGCGATGAAAAGCATACTCTTGCAAGAATTTCCCAAAACCATTCAGTCTCTGGACACGTTCACAGAGAAGGCCCAGCATTCTTCTTGGTCACTTGTTCCATTCACTTTTTTCTGTTACTCTGCCTCTCACAAGACACAGGAAAACCTGTTGTGTGAATCTACCTAAAGCTCACATACAAATCCAGGTTCCCATAAAAAAACAGAAAGAGAAAGGAGAGTGACATCGTTTATCTAGTCCTCATCAGATTCTGGCAGAGGCTCCCAGCTGTGGATGGAAGTCAATATGGCGGGAGACTTGGGAACAGGGTCAGACTGATCAATGTGGTAAAAAGGGTTACAAAAATCAGAAGCTTAACTCTTCGGACAATCACCTGCAAAGGTCTAGTTACCTTAATTCCGGCAGCAGATGATCCAGGGTCACCCTAAAAGAAAACCCATAAGATTATTCCACACGATACAGGAATAGGAAGCATGTGAACTGTCATTACCCACTGGGATGACTGGGCCTGACTGGGCCTGTATCTACTAAACTGTCATCTCTTTCCAAGACAGTATACTTACTAAAACCTTTGCGTGTAAAGGACTATAGTCCTTGAAAGAATGACATTCTCTTTTCTTAACACAGCTAACACTACGTTCTAAAGCACTCAATTACCATCTTGGGATTAGTTTTGTGATCGTCTTTTTTCTGGAGCTTATTAATGCCACTGTCTGTCAAGTTTCTGGAATTTGCCTGACCCTGGAGGTCTTTAGAAAGTCAGCATACAACAGATGAAGTCAAAAGGTTAATAAGGTCGAGATGGGAGAAGACACGTACCAAGTGCCTTCCTCCGGAAGCGCCGCCAGACTGCCAGCCCCACCATTTTCTACCTTTATACTTATTTCGTTGTGAAGCAGTCACCAAAAGTCACAGGATGATGGATGACTTGTGGGTGATAGAGATACCTGTCTGATTGGAGGGAAAATCCTGAGATAGAATCTGGTTTTCTAGAAGGCACTGCCTTCCATCTGGACCCATAGGAGTGGACCCCGTTTCTAAGGCGAATACGTTACAAATAGGGCAGATAACAACTACTGGAAGTAGGTGTGCAGGAGAGCAGGGGGTGTTGATGATTTCTGAAATGTGGCCAGCCAAGGCTGGAGATTTTCAAGCTCCTTTAGCCCTCCGTCCCGTGAACATGCTAACAGGGAACATATAGGGAGAAAACAGTCACCTAAGACAGGATAGAAACAGCTTTAGGGCAAAGCACAGTGGGTTTCTTATCTATGGGGTTATCTGAATGTATTTCCTCTTTCTAGATTTAGGAAGCTGCTCATCAATGTCTTTTAGAGGTGAAGCTAAGGCCCCTGTAGATGGAACCTTGTCCCCTCCCTCAAGTCCTTTTTTTTCTCTCCACACTGGCACCTTCTCTACCTTCAGTGTTGCCTCAAAGAAGCCATCACTCACCACCTTAGACACAGATCTCCACCCCTCACCCATCCCAGGCAGCGTCACACTTTGTGGTGTCTCTCACTTTTTGCTTCATACTCTGTGTTGTGTTTGCTGCCTATGCATGGTCTGTCGCCCCACTGGACAATCAGCCACATGTGGGCAGATGGCCAGTCTGCTCTTCATGCCTGCCCTCTCGTCTATGCTCAATGCGTAGAGTTGGGCACGTTTTAAAAGGGCTGTCTAAAGCATGTCAGCAGTCAAGGAGTAAAATCAAAAGAAACTTTAAGGAAGAAAAGAATTTAGAAGAAGGAAATAATAAATTAGTTTGGGAGGAAACATACATGTGAGTTTCATTGACATCTGTAATTGCTATCATGCAAGGAGAAAGGAAAACATGAAGAAACACAAGGACATAGACCCAAATTCTGTCTTAGTGAAGAGTGATACTTATTTCTCTTTTTAGTTATTAACATTTCAACTATGTTCCAACAGGAAGGGAAATAAATGTGGCTAATAAAATGATACTTATTCCTGTTTCTACCAAATCAGGTCTGAAACTCAATGAATCAGGTTTGCAATCATTTGCACAATAAGACCTTTGTATTCATAAGAGCAGTTTTGACTTTGCTAAGTCCTTTCTTTCGTCTCATTCATACCTCACAAAACTCCCAGGAGATAAGGCAGATATTACTGTTCTCCTTTAACAGATGAGGAAATTGAAGCAACTAGAGGTTAAGTGAATTTTGGAATTCCTAAAGTCTATTGCTGTGCTGTTATATTTTTTTTAATTATTGGAACAAGAATCACTGGCTTACTTCATTTGACAACAGGGCACAGAAGCTGGGGCAATCTTATGAATAAAATGAAGTGGCTTACACTGACCATAGTTATAAAGCTTTTTTATTTTCAGGTTTAAATGGAAAGTGAGTTGATAATCCACTAATGAGAATAAGGACTAAAGTCAGTTCTCAGAGAAAGTGGATGGGAAGAAAAGGGCAGTTTTCTGAAAGGTTGATTTATTAGTGGAAATTGGAGCATTTTATGTGATGGGCAACTAAGAGTGATAGTTTCATTCTCTTTTAAAAAACTTACACACTGTGAAATCTCAGGAATTTTTGTAGCTTTTAAGTGACTGGGCAACTGCTGGAAGACATTTGTAAGTAAAGCATTTAAAGGATAATAGTACAAGTGGTGGAAATCAAACTAGGTTTATAATTCTCATCCTCCAAAAGAGAAAAGGAATACAGAGTTACAGTAGGAGGAAAACCAACGTATGCCACTAGCCTCATGACTTTGTTGGTTTGTAAATACAAGTTTTCATGGCATCACATGGAAGACAACTATGAGAAGATCCTTGAGATAACTAGATTTGGTTTATTGTTGATTACTGAAGAACAAAGAGTTTTTCATTTGGTCCTGATTATTTCAAACCACACTCAGTATTTAATTATTTGTATGTGTTAATAAAGTCTATGTGGCTATAGGAAATGCATGTGACTTGATTTATGAACAGTAAATATTTATTGAGCACCACTTATGTGCTAGGCACTTTCTGGATGCAGAGAGACTGGGGTCAGGGGTGCCACCGTGAGCAGTACAGTTTTAATATTGTCTTTGTTCCATGCTTTAAACCATTTACTGCCATAACCATACAACAATATCATTGATTGCAAGCAAGCTACTTTCTTTTCATTTTTAAAAAAAACCTGGGCTAGGAAGAGATGTTCATGTTTGGGAAATTTCTGTGTTGCTTTATATACAAAGAAAGCATGATATACCTGGCACAGAAAGAGAGTCATACCATTCCACAAAAATAAGAAGCTGTTGAAAATAGAAAACGAAAGACTAACTTTATTCAGTATATATTTATTGTCTTCCAAATACGAGCCAGAGACTTGGGTGGATGGTGGGAGCCCAACAGTCTGGCATCAGATAGTTTTCCTTTGTTTGTTATTTCTTTTTCTGTGACCTGATGTCAATTATAAAAGTAGGAAGGGTAGTGATAAGGTCTGGGGGGTACTTTAGAGTGCCGTGGGCACATGTGGAAGGTGACCCACCAATTTAGAGGAGACAGAAGGACTGCCCCATGGAAATGATTTACAACCTCAGGGTCTCAGTGGACTGAAGAATTGGATTGGAAGGTGGTAAGGTGGAGAAACAAGACTGTTCTAGCTAAGGAAATCATCTGTGTTCAGATAGAGAAGGCCTTGCATCGATGGAGAGGGCTGGGCCTTTGCTGTGACTCCCCACGTGGTGTGGTTTCTGAAAACACTCAGTGGTTGCAAATCAAAGATACTACCTGATAGGCATGAACTAAGAAGACAGGAGTGGAATGGGACAGAGAATGGGAGCAAAGTAATGAAGATAGATAGCTGAGAGCAAGAAAGTCAAGGAGGAATTCCCAAATCAACAGAAAAATGATGGGGAGACATGTTCGAATCACAGAGTGCTTCCTACGCACTCACTTTTAGGTACGGAGAAATAGATAAGAAATCCATGCTACATTTGCTGGTGGGATTCCCAGAATCCCACAGATATCACAGTAACTCCACACAGGATGGAAATCAGTCACCAGCAGGCTTTTCTTAAACCTTGCGTGCATCAGCGTTACTGGCCTCACAGAAATCCCAGCCTCTTGGATTTTACACACCCACAGCATTTCCAGATGCCCAGTCTCGGAAGGCCTAGATTGCTTTACCATCCAAAGCCACGGAGTTGGATCAAAAGGCAAAAAAGTCCTATTAAAGTGAATCAGTCAATGACGCAATTTACTATATCGATGGCAGCAAAGCAGCATTTTTTTGATTTTACATCTCAAACTTGGTAAGAGATGAATGAGCTTCACATACTGAACCCAAAGGCCATGGAAAGAGTGTTTCCAGCATGCTGGAAACAAATTATATGACAGAAGCAGGAAATGTTTAAAAAACACATCAAAAATTATATTCCAATTATAGCATACCCAGGGATGAATGCCACAGGTCAGATTACATCTTAAATGTTACAGATTCCCATTTACAATCCCCCGCTTAGACCTATTGGAAGTTTATAGAAATGATTTCCGTTTCAACTGAAGCATTTCTTGCACTTAATTTCAGTCGACTAATAAAAACGTTTTGATAAAATAGAAAAACAACCAATCTAGTTGGCTTCAATTTCCATGTGGTAAGAAATCAAACATTTATTGAGAATTTACTATGTGTGAGTCCGTATGGTAAATGATTTGCATGAATATAAAAAATCACAACTGTATTCCTTTGAGGTGAACTTGTTTTTTTTTTTTTTTCAAAGAAAAAAGTTACTTTCCTATTAGAAAATTAAAATTTCAAACAATGTTTAAAACAACAACTACTGGTCTATGTTCTCAAAATGAAGTTTTTCAAACACATCTTCTGCAGCACCAAATTCCCCCCTAAACCACATAAGTTGTAGTTCAGATGTGGCTTAAATGTTTCTGGCTTGAAGCAACTGCTCTCTAGGTGAAGACTTCCCTTCTCGAGCAGAGGCTGGCCACGCCAGCATCCCAGATCCAGCGAGCCATGAGTTGGGTATGACCCATGAACTAAGAATGGCTTTTAAATGGCTTTTAAAAATTGCAAGAACAGTCATATTACATGACATGCGAAAATGACATGAAATTAAAATTTCCGTGTCCAGAAATAAAGTTTTATGAGGCCATAGCCACACTCACTTGTATGCACATCGTCTGTGGCTCAAGTCACACCATGACAAAAACCATATGGCCCACGAGACCGAAAATATTTATTTTCTGACCCTTTCCAGGAAAAGTTCGCTGACTTCTAAAGCAAAACCAAAAGAGTTAAATATAACTTACATATCTGGGGTTTAACAATTTTGACTTGGAGAGTCATCGAGGTAATGGTGGGTCTCCTTTAACACCCGTGACACTGAGCAGAGGCAGCTGACAGGGCACTTACATGTGTGGACACAGTGGTTCTCAGTGAGAGGTGATTTTGTCCCCCAAGAGACATTTGGTGACATCTAGGGGCAAGTCGTCACAGTGGGGGACGCTGCTGGATCTCCTAGTCAGAAGCCCCACAAGGAGAATCATCCAGCCCAACCCCAGGAGAGCACAGTGTTGATGCTGAAAAAACCTGGCTGAAACTGAGAGTCCACTTAAATCTCCAGAACAGTCCTCAAATACAAACACTGTTGCTACCTGGTGACATTGGTTTCCTCCTACCACCCACGCTATATTTATATTAATATTTATAAGAAGGAGAAAGATAAATTTCTCTTTATCGTATGGGCATGTTTTGGGATTCCCCATTATCCATCTGTAGTATCGTAATTTTCAAAGTGAAATACACTTCTCAGTTTTGACTAAATGAATCATTCTTTTTTATCACTCAGTTAATTAGCATGATATAAAGAAAATACAACTGATTTATACTTTCACTTTCTTTAAAGATCTTTTCCTCCTCCTCCTTCATATTTAGCATACATGGGATAAATCCCATTCCTTTGTCAAAGATGTCTACAAAGCACAAATCCAACATAGCTAACCACTTTCTAGAATCCATGACATACCATTTTACTTTTTAAAATGTTTAAATCTGTGACTGGACTCTGTGGGGGTAATAAACCTTGTAAAGTAAATCCTCCTGTAGAATTATCCTGTAGAATTATCTTGGATTTTGTTCCATGAAATGCGGACCACCCACGACCTCTGTCAAAATCTCCCCTTTTCTACACATCAGGTGACAGTTCTCGCTCACACACATACTCTCTTATCCCACAACACTGTACCTTTTCGCCTGTGTCACCTTTGGGGCCGTGTTCTCCAGCATCTCCCTAAGGGCGAGAAAATAAAGGGGTGACGTGAGGCAAAGAACACCTTTCCTTACCGTAGGTAGCGCTACCTATTAAAGTCCGCTCTAACTGTTCTACCTAGCTAATATACTCCTACTTGACCGATTCACATAAGTTCTTCTTTTATTATTATTATTATTGCAATACCATTTGCTTTACATGATTGTTAGTGTTTTGGAAGTACAGGACCCCCACTCCTCAGGGGTGGTCACCACAATGCACCCCCCCAAGTACCCACAGTCCTCTGTCCGCATTCCTCTCACTCTGGATGCCTCAGATCTATAGTCAGAGCTCAAGGGTTGATTTTAAAGCTTATCTTTAACTCTTTGTTTGGTTTCTTTATATTCCATAGATAAGTGGCAACATCAGGTATTTATGTTTCTCCTGGCTTATTTCGCCTAGCATCACATAGACTCTATAGCAAGGAATGTGCTGAATAAATGAAATGACTCCCTGATATTAATAGAGAACAGTGATTTCTCTGACTTCTAAGTGTTTATTCTGGCACTTACCACCCACCAAGTCCAGCTCTGCTGGTGCTCCAGCCTGGCTGAGACTTTCTCCTGCACTTATTGTTCACAAGTGACACGCACACTTCCTTCCCCTGCACTCCCACCTCCAGACTTCCAACACCTCATCCCTCTGTCTCCAAGCCCATCTTTCACCTCCAAGGGCAAGGCATTATTCTACAAGCCCAAGCCTTAAATACGGGTCAATCTGCACCTACATCTTATTTATTAATGAGATAAATATCTTACATTGGAAAACTTTAAAATCTATATAGTAAAATAGTGTTTATACTTCCTTTGTTATTTTCTGATTTTGCAAAATCCCCTATTTTTTTTAACATACAAAAATGCTTATAGTGGGTGTTTATCCCCGTTATTTTGAGATGTCTTCTCTCTCCTCCCTCACTGACATCTTTCATTCCACAAAGCAGTGCACTGATCCATCTTTGCATCCATCAATTCTGAATTCTTTAAATAGTTTGTCCCAGTGGTGACAACATGGACTCTGGCGTCAGAGAGACCGACTCAAGTTCTGGTACCAACTGCACAAATAAAATTCTCTTTGCACCATGCTTCTCACGTATAACACAAAGGCAAGAACATGGTATGGAATCATAAGAACTAAACATATTGTGTGTAGGAAAAAACAGGACTGGCTCTGACAGTGACAGTCCATTCTTTCCTGTATATTCCATCAGCAGGATGTCCCATGTCTACCTTCAAAAGAGGGCACACTATGCAACCATTTAAATTTTTCCTCAGAGTAAGAGAGAAGCTAGTGATCGTAGAGAAGCCAAGGAGAGAGCCTTTCACTTTCTCCTCCCCATTTTCTTGTGTCAAATAAGCATAAAGCTAATGTGCTTAGGAGTTTTTCTACAGTGACAGATACAGCACAGCGGCCAGTAGCTCTGAACCCCTAGGAGGGGCTGGTGCTGCTGTGCCTCCTGAACTTCTCCACAAGAGTCATCTGATGGCTAATTAATCTCAAGTTAATTGCCATGACCTGGCTGGATGCCAACTAAGCATACTGACAAACTGTTGTGAGTGATCTTTGATGGACAGCCACCTAGCATCCTTACAGAAAACTGCCTGGCAAGCCTTTATTAAAAAACAAAAGGGACAAAATAGTCTTTCTCATTAGGAAAGCTGCTCAGCGTGCTGGAGCATGGGAGGCCCTATTGCTGGCTGCCCTCTGTTTGCATAAATGTAATGCTGAAAAACAAAGTTGCGTCTGAGAAGTTTTAGGAAGCGCATTCTATGGTGTCTGGTGGCTTCCTGTGCAGATGTCATTAAAGCAAGTGCAGGAAAACAGGAACATTCGTACCACCGACATGAAGCAAAAGTTACAGGACACCAGCACATCCAGGAAGATTTAACATTTGATTCCGCTTCTCCTCCTGGTTCTCTTTCTGGCTCTTAGGGGGATTGTCTGTGGGACAACTGTCAGGATGGCAGCTGCAGGTCAACATCTGGATCACTTTAGCCTGGTGACCTAAGAAACAGCAGAGCCAGACGTGAAGGCTTAGGAAAGTACTGAGTGGCACTGACCAGTGGCTAGATTGGACATCTTGCAAGTCCAGGTATGTCTGAAAATCACTGAAAAGCTGCCCTGTGTACAGAGATGGAAGAGAAGATGCTAAATGAAATAAGCCTGTTAAGTACTCGATGGTGTCACTCGTGCGGAATATAGAGAAAACAAACTAGGAACCAGAGAAAGACAAGAGGAAACCACTGGAAGCTGACTGCAGCATCAGATGGGGAGGGGTGGACGCAAGTGGGAAAGGAAGCACCAAGGTCTACGGTGGTGAGTGACGAGTGCTTTGACGGCGGGTACCCTATAGCCGTGACAGCTGGTGGGAGAATCCCAACACTACCACAATCAAAGAATAAGTTGTTATTTAAAAAATAAAAGGCTGATATAGAATTTTAATTTTTAATCAAGATGTACTGATTTATCCTTTTTTTACAAAACTATAGTTTCAGGTGTGCAGCATTGCACCTCGGTTTGAGTTTGATCCCTCACCCCCATCTAAGTTCTAATGCGACCACACTGTCGCACAATATCATCATATGACACCCTTCCCCTCACTGAGCCGCTCCCCTCCCCACCCCGCCAAAGCCCCACCACATCTTTTCAGAGTCTAAGAGTTAATTCTGGGGTATTTGGATACAGAATGTTCCAATGCTCTCTCTTTTTCCATCATTTCTTTAAATTTTTTTTATCCAGACTTCCATCATGCATAAGGACCACACTGTTTTTCTCCTTCCAGTAAGTAACAGCCTTGGGAAAAAAGGCTCTCTTTTAATCTACTATGTCCATTTATCTATATTTCAACTTGATATAATTTTGAGGAAAAGACTGATAACAACAGAATTATTCATTCTCGCTCATACCTTTTCACCACGTTCTCCGGGCTCTCCCTGGGTCAAAGCACAGAAATAGAGTGACATATTAAATTATAAAACACTTAGTTCAGCAACACCAAATAAAATCAGATACTGAACATGCCAGGTCAATGACATGTGACACCTTCTACTTTGTAATATACAATCACTGCATGAAACAAGTGGTTACAGCATGGAGGACTGGAGCAGGATATAATCTTAATGTAACCTTACATGTTTGCTTTTAGAGAAGCAAAGAAAGAAACAGAAGATGATCAGCAAGAACCTGACTTTGGGGTGGCAAAATGTGGTGGCACCCCAAGTCTGGAGATAGTTCATCCTCTGTGGCTGTCTACTCTGCCCAGTCTCGGAATGGTCAAGGTGGGCCGGCAGCCCCTGCCAGCTACCCAGTGCTGTGAGTCTGGAGGTCCGGTGCCACCTGAACTGTCTCCCCTAGCATGACCATGAACTGTGTCCTGACCCTGGTGACCTTCACAATGCCACGAGCCTGCAGGTCACCAGCATGTTCACAACAGGGAGAATTCCAGGAGCGTGGGTGTCTTCAGGAAAGCCAGATGGGGCAGAATCAACCCCTTTACTTAACCACCAGGGCCAGAGGAGGGCTAGAAAGTAACGCGATTGTCCTCAAGTTCACTTTCCCTAGCAAGGGACAGGAGAGGAGGAGTTCTAAAGTCAATCACATACATTATGGTAATAGGCCCCTTAGGAAAGTCTGAGGGAGTATGGCCATAAGCTGAGACTGCTTTAAAACACGGTGTAAAGTGATTATTACATTTAAAAAAAATCATATCCCATTAAAGAAGTCAATTTGGAGGCAAAAACTCTTTCCACCCCCTGGCACTCAGCCTGTCCCTTGGTTTTCTGAATGTCTGGCCTTCTCGCCCTGTTGGGCATCCATCCCATCATCACTAGGCAGCGTTAAGGCCATGCGTTAAGCATTAATTCCTATCATTTGCCCTTTTAGCATCAAGCAAGAAAACGAAGAAGACAGGAGAATGGCTGTGGTCCCAGAAGGAGTATTTTCTTTCCTCTTCTGCAGGACAAAGGACAGGGTCATAAATTTAGGTCTGTTGAAGCTTCTGTCGATAGCAACTGATCTGCAAAACCATGTGCGAGCATTTGTGGGGGGGTCACACCAGCACAGCTGATGGCACCAGACACAAGTTCTGCACTTCAAGGGATGGTCCCTCAAAGGACGGGATTTGTCTGTCTGTTTGGTTTAAAATGACACTGTCGCCAATTGTTTCATGTTTAAGAGATTCATTTGTTCTTTAAGAAACAAAAGTTGCAAAGTAAAAAAAAAAATCCTCATTACATTTTTCCCTATTTAGTAATTCGACTATGTCCATTTTCTAATTTTAAATATGTCACATCTTTATTCTGCTCTTCATCTGATTAAATGGTCATGTTGGGGAAGGGCTGGAAATGGCCAAATCTTGAACGAAAGTCTCAGTGGCACTACAAGTATCATCTTCACCGAGTTTCGCAAGTGTAGTGTGCACCTTGGGCAGAAGTGGCACCGTCCACATTTTAACATATTCAGCAAGTGGTCCAAAAACAACAGTCTTATTTGAAACATGGGCTTTCTCATGTTATTGAAATATCCAGGAATAAAGAGTCTGGACATTCACATTCTATTTTTTTTTTTCGCATTTTGAATGCTAATAAGAATCATGGGCATAATTTATTCATTAGTCACAAGCATATTATGCTATCGACAAAAAATTTTATCCGCATAGGAGGTGAAAAAAAAACCGTACTAGCTTACAATTTCATGAAAATTCATGTCTTAAGGGACTCAACTTCATTTTATGGGTACTGACCTTTGGCCCTGGTACTCCATTCTGTCCTACAGCTCCAGGCACCCCAGGCTCACCCTTAAAAGAAAATACATATTCATCACTAAGGAATATCGACTACTTCAGTACAATATATAAATTCATAAAGAACATAAGTGACTGCTAGTATAAATATAAGTTAGTGTAAATTCAAAATTTTATGTGCTGGAGACCAAGCAGACAACAGAGTTACCTTCCTTTGTTTAACCTTTTCTCCACTAAGAAAGCTGAAGCACCAAATAATGGAAATGAACATTGAGCAAAGTACAAGGCACGTAATAGGCATCAATTACATATTTGTTGAAGACACCTGAAACTATAAGACTCTCTTGATGAAGAACTTTTAAGTGATTCATCAGCTTGGGAAAATAAAGACTAAATCATATTCCTTAGACTACTTTGAGTGAACATTCCCCAGTTTAAAACTTGAAGAACCCACATATTTTTGAATTCAACTTCACACTTGTGGACCCATTTGACATAAAGTAAAAAGTGAGAATGACTTTGATTTGTCTTTTATGTTTTCACTATAAAATAGAATAAAATATTCAGACTTTTGTGATAGACATATTGAGTGATAGGCATTTGGGTTAAAAATGATAAGGTTGGCCCTCCCTGGTGGCGCAGCGGGTTAAAGCACTGCACTGAGAAGCTAAAGCTACTTTCGCATGAGTTCAAATCCCGCCTGCCCCGGAGGAGACCACATGGCGAGGCAGACCTCTCCTGACCCGCCCGCTGCTCCCCTCAGCAGTGTACTTCGTCCATCTGCCTGTTCTGCTCCCCGCTCTGTCTCTGGTGAAGCCTCTCACCGCCCCTGAGCCTCTCCAGTACCCCAGTTCTGTATGTACAAATAAATAAATCTTTAAAAAAAAAAAAAAAAAAAATGATAAGGTCAGGAAAGTGTCTACTTAAAGGGATGCTGGGGGTGTCAGTCTTTCTAGACTGAACCAGCAATTTCTCTCCCTTTGGAAAGGAGTCCTGGACAAGACACTTGACACGATCTTCCAGCCCCCGGTTTCCATGTGGCTCAAACCAACATCAACTATAAATTCATTTTCACGTACAAACACTGCTACAGCCATGGATCATGCATGCCAACTATGGAGCAACTCTTTTCCTTCCACTAAGGATAGTAAAGTTGCTCCCTACTTGATTAAAGAAAACTTTACAGAGCAGTTTTAGGTTCACAGCAAACTTGGTTTGATTTTTAAGAACACCTTTTAACTCATGTGAGGTAGGAAATGCATCTTTTATATTTGTGCTCTCAGCTTCAAAAACTTATCCGTGAAGGCTTATCATATTTCTTCAGTGCTAGAAACTTTATCTTCATTATCTAACTAAATTCTGACTTATTTCTAGGAGGTAGGTGCTATCTTTACGTCCACTGAACAGGTGAAGAAAATAAGGCAACAGAGGCTTGAGTGATTTTTCCAGTATACAACTATCCAAAATGTGAGCTCCCTTACTCTAGGTTGAAATGGTGTGTTATAAACACTACAACACATGGTGAATTTCTTGAATACATCAAGAAAATGGGATAGAGCAGATGATGACTATTCTTATCCTTGTTATCATTTGGCTATACTCCCTGTTTGTGAACAACTCCTAGAATATATAGACACCTGAACTGAGTATCACTTACAAAAAGATGATTTATGTACCTCTACCACATAAATGAAACCATGCAAGGCTTATCGTGTCTTTGTAGAAGATAAGATTTTTTACTATGATACTGGATTATTAGCTTTGCTGAAGTCTGAGGCTCCTGGAAGAAATTCTGCTTCCTATGTAAAGTGACATGATAAACGTAACATATGCATTTTTCATGTTAAAACAGCAAAACTTAGAATAATGATGGGCATGATAGCAGAATTTTGATATTCCATTCATAGTTCACAAAGAGTCAGAACTTGGAAACAGAATATACCCCAAAGAAGGACTATCATTTACTATGCAAGCAGAAAAAAAGAGCTATTCAGTCTGCTCTCTTCAAAGCATCTACAGCAGGATGCACTAATATCATAACTCATGGTGTAATGCAAACAAGAGAGGTTGCCAGGGAACAATGCAAACTCTGTTTAGACTTTCAAAGAATAACCATGGTAGCCAGAATTGTTTTTGAAAAAATGGTTAAGCCCCTGGAAAGGGACAAAATACATGCTGAGATTCTGAAGCAAGGAAGAGAAACGTTGCTTAGGTATCTGCCTAGCATCCACCCTAATATATGAACATCGAGGGGCCAAAACATGATCCCTTTGAATCTTTGATTTCACATATTGTTAAAGTAATCTTTTAACAGAAAAGGAAACAAAAGATTGCACCCATAATCCTATTACTCTATAATAATTGTTTTCACTTTGTCCTGTTTCCTCCTAGTGTTTTATACTTAGGCTTATGGATTTTCACGATTGTGAACTTACTGCATTGCCTGATGTTCTGAATTTTTATCATGTTATTCTGACCTTTTTCACACAATATTCACAACTGTCTTGTGAAGAGTTGGATTAGTATCTATCAAGTCAGGTGTGATTAGTTCTTGAATCAGTCCCAAATTATCAAATACTAAGATGGCTTCCAATTTTTGCTGCTAAAGCAAAATTCCGTTTGCAAATAATTTTATATTGCTTTCCAAATGGTTCTGAGTTTTCACCTGCTTACTCCATCTTACACAGCCTCAGCAGCAAAGAGTGTCACAGTTCTAACTATGCGCTTGTGTATTTTAAAAAGCAAAATGAGAGTTTACTGTGACTAAGTTTTATTGTTGTCACCAGTAAGGCTACACTGGTGTTTATTAAAATTTAAAAAAAAGTAAAAAGTGAAGGAAGCTGTGGCTGGATGAAAGGAAGAAAAAAAATGACTAAGATACTTTATTTTAAGAGTATATGAAGACTATTATTTGGAAGACCAGGAGAGAGCATGTGTTAATGCCCAGACTTGGTTTCCAGGTCTCCAGAGAGGTGGTTATGATGGCATGTGGTGGAGCTCTGTTGGACAGTTGCTCGGAACCATGCCTTGCAGTTCTAGAGTGCATAACCGCTAACTCTGAAAGAGAGAGAAATGAATTAAAATAACTCAGTTCTCAAGTGGAACCCACGAAAGGCCCAGACTGTTGCAAGACACTCTCCCTCAACTATGAATGGAGCAGGAGCCAGAAATCAGTCACTTCCTTGACTCTCAAAAATCAAAAACTGGAGAGACGTTTTGAATAATCCATTGCCCGGTAAATGCTGCTGCAAAAAAATTTATTAAAAAAAAAAGTTTATTTATTTATTTATATATCTATTTACATAATTGCTCATTTTACAACAATGTTAACTTCTCCCCTCCCCCACCGGTCATCACCATAGCCCCCCCACATTCCTGGCTCCTCAGATCTCTCTCTGACCCTCTCCCCTGTAGGATCTCTCTGGTTTATAATTGTCTGTTTGCTGTGCTCAGTGAAATAAGTCAGAAGAAAAGAGAAAAATAACGAATGGTTTCACTTACAAGAGGAATTTAAGAGAACCAAATAAGACAGAGGGGGAAAAAGTGTATTGTCATTACTATACACAACACAACAGAAACAGACAACTTGCTGCAAGAGAGTTTAATGCTAATGAACAAGAAAGCAAAAAACCCAGGGCATTCAAACCTCCAGGGACTTAATTCCTTTCATTCCATTTAATGAGAGTCAAGGCAGCAAAGGAGAGGAGCTGAGTGGTTATAGTAAGGCAATGAGGAAACAAAAATAATGACGTTCTCTTTGCCTGCTGCACTGGCTTGGGTAGATGTTAGGGCTTTTGGAAGTCCGAGATCACCCATTTATCTGCTCTCTCACAATTCTTATAATAAAAATGCCATTAGGATTAGGCTGTGAGGGTTACTGTGAAAAGCTGTGACACCCTTGGATAAGAGATGAAAGGACTCTGGATGCAGGAACCAAAAGCTAATTAAAATTTAATGTACTTCAAGTCACATAGCTCTCTGGGCTAGATTTCTGTAAGAGACAAGAATATCAATCTTTTATTTATATTGTATTTTGATGTTTTAAAAATATCAAATTCTAGAAAACACTTAAAAATACATGAAACAAGGGCATGTGATATTTCTCTTTTGCTCTTGGGAACAACCCCTGTGACTCTGGGCCTTGGGAAAATTCTAGTTTGCTTAGACAAAATAACTGTTTTTCAGTCCTGAAAATCTCTTAACTTTATTTTCCTAGAAACAAAGAGGCAAGGATGTGAACTGTACAAATTAGACTTCTGACGCCCCCCTCCCCCCAATCCCTTGATCCCCAATGTTATGACATGTATACCTGGCAGGGCCCGGAAACAGATTGATCTTCAAACCCAGTATTACAAACAGGGGTTCTAATTATACAGGGAAGAGTTGCTATTTTAAAGTTCCCACACAAAAATATGCAAAGAAAAGTTGTAGACAAATTATTTCATCAAAGGATTCTTCAGTTTAAAAAACAGTGCTACCAGAAAATTATTCTGAAAGTCTCTAGGTTCTTTAGTGTATGTGAAATAGGGTTTAGTTAAATATGCAAAACCAGGTTTCTGCAAGTGCAATTCTGTGTGTGTGTGTCTGTTTGTCTGTGTGTGTGTGTGTGTGTGAGAGAGAGAGAGAGAGAGAAAGAGAGAGAGAGAGAGAGAGAGAGAGAGAAAGACAGGTGGGTGAGAGGAGATGGAGAGAGAAAAGAGAGAGAAAATGAATCATGGAGCACAAATCAAATGTTAACTCTACCTGAAGAGTTAACATTTCAGGTCAACAAGATCTATTCATGAGAACGTCTGTGTCCAACACAATCAGTCAGACATTCCAACATTCCACACCTTTAGATAAGGCTGAATTAAATGTGCCCTAAGTGTTCTGCTGTTGGAAACAAATCCAAAATACAGATCCTGAAACAACAGCTTCTAGGATTGCAAGCAAAGGATCCTCATCGAAAGGTGACATGGACATGTGGTATCTAGTGGAGACTTACAGGAAAATTAATACAGTCTGTCTCTCACTTTACAAATGTATGTCCTCTTGAGCACAGAGAGAAGAGGCGCTTAGAGAGGGCCCAGGAGGAGGAGAGCACAAACATCTATGCCAGACCACGCCTCTCACTTCCCCACGCTGCCAACACCTTCTAGATGATATGGGATGTGTCTTATCTTCCTCTAACTCATATCCTAGCCTTTATGCACCATTTTATACATTCACTTCCTTCCATTACGAATTTAACTGGCTTCTGTTCCCTTCTTGAGAGGTAGCCTAAGGTCATTTGCTGAAACTCTTATTTAAAATGTGATAACACTACTACAGGTAAATTGGTAACAGTTATTGATCACCTTGTGCAAGATGTTTCCTTACATACATTATCTAGTGAATACAGCAAGATCTAGATTTTACTCTGGAGTCTTAGAAATGTTAAATAATTTAAAAATCAAGAAGCAGGGCTTGCAGTATTCTCTATGTGACCACAGTCAGAACAGTCTTTCTACGCAATGCACCACTGCCAGCTTCTCACAGAAAGGACCTAGTCCTTCCTAGATTGAGATTCTGGGAAAAGCCAAATTCTTATGAGTTGAGTCCCACGTAACTGTTAATGTCAATCTTTTTTTCCTAATATGATCTAATGAACTGGGAGATGGTAACAAGAAATACTCAGCTTAGCAATCAAGGTGACCAAAATTTAAAGGGAAATAGTATAAAAAGTCACCACATTTATTGACCAAAGTCAATTACCAACATTGTTAAGTCTGGCTGGGAGGAATAAGAGTGGAAAGCAAACACAATAATTCCATAAAAAAAAGTCTTCTTATCTCTTGTTTTTCATGAGAGAAATTCTTGCTTTCTTATTTTCTAGTTGTTGTTTCCTAAATTTCTAATAGCTTTAGAAGTCAAGTACTTCCTTAGCCATTGTCTGAAGCTATTTTCTAAGTATCAAAAGTACTTCTTTGGAACCAGTGAAATCATAATGTGAAAAAAATGTTTTTTCAAGACAGTTTAAGTATATCAAGATGCTTCTTAAAAATCACTATGTCATCATAAGGTCTCTTAAAAAAAACAAATTCTGTAAGTCCAATGTGCAGTTCATATGCTGCATGCATGGATTTATTGCTCTAGTTCCAACTTTGTTTCAGTTGTCTAAGTAACCTTCTGCATCACTGAAGGGACCCCGTTTTTGTTTTTTTTAGGTTAAGTTGTGAGGAGTAAGAAAAACATTCTTCAGCTACTTGTCTTTAGAAAAGCACAAAATCATATAGCTGCTCTAAGTTTGACAGAAATCTTTAAATGTCACAGAGATGTGCAACAAATATTCATTATGTGTTTCCTTAATATATAATTTAAGCTTGGTGACTAGGACAAGAAAATGTCACATTCATTTTTCCAGCTAAGGAAAATGCATGTTTCTATTGCACAAATAAAGATCAGGCAGTTTTCATAAGCACAGATATGACAATTAAAACTTTTTTTTAGGTGAAAGTTTCCTATAAATTTTCATGATTGTCTTGAGGCTGAATAAAGAAAAGAAACAAATAAGAAAGAGCAAAGCATTTACCTTTGACATCCAAGTTTGGTTCTATATTTTGGGATTTTTTTCCCTAAATATTATCTTGACTTAAGTAATTTTCAAGCCCAAATTAAATTTGTGCTTATGTCTCCTGCCATAATGGGCAACATTCTAAAGAGAAAGTCCATCTTCTGTCTCTAGGATTTGTGAAGTCACTGGACATGCATTTCATGAAGCAGAGGACAGAGCTGTGTTCTGGGCAGTTAACCATCACCTGGCTGCAGGGTGTGTTTCACAGACTAACTGGTCCATGAGCCCGGGTTGAGAATATTCATTTCACTGGAAAAGTGAGCTATTTTGAAAACAGGGTGCTTCTTTTACAACTTAGATCAGTCAAATCGCTAGCCTGTCACTGAAATGAAATGGAGGGAAGCTCCAATAGCAAACACTGTCCGAAGGACTTTCTAGCCAACTCCTGACCCAACCAATTCTCTCATCCACCCTAGTAGGTGAGAACTGCTGTGGTCTCCCTTTTACAGATAAGAAACTGAGGCCAGAGACTCCAAGGAATGGACATTCTCATAGCCTCTCGGGCAACACGTGCCCTTGGCAACCAAGTAAATTTTGAGTGGAGATTGTCTGTCTTGTTAAAGAAGGATCGGCGGACCAGGAGGTATGGTCATGGAGGCCTGCTCTGTCTGTACGGGGTGGGCTTCTGAGGACACAAGACTCAGTGCAGAGTGTGGGGAAGAAAAGGCCACACCTCAGGGATTTCAACAAGCGGAAATCAATGGATTTCAACAGATCGGAGCTGTTCAGAAAGCTCCGAGGAAATTATTAAAATGCCTCTCCTGGACCTTGGCTCCTGGGCATCTGGCCCAACCAGTTGCTTTCCTGGTCTCTGTTGAGGGTTCAGACTGAGGACCATGGGGAAGCCTGTGGGGAGGAGGCTAGACCCAGCTGCAGTGCAATGCTGAATGCTGCATGCAACCAGGCTCCTGTGGAGGCATGTGGCAGGAATAAATGCGCACGTGGAGGTATGTCTATGGTGTTTTTTTGGTTTGGTTTTGTTTTTTAGTTTATCATCTCCTCCCTCCCATTATTTTTACAATATAATAAAAGTATACCACCAGAGCTTGATCAGTCTACTTAACTTCAAATTTCACTTAACAGCAAACAAAAAACAGTATCTGGATTTAGAAGAGTCCTTCTGTAAGGGTTACTTTCATTAATGACATAAACAATACATATGAGTTTTGCTATGATGAAAATAAGCTATAAGGCCTGTTATCACAATGGGTGTTACACATAGCATTTCTCCTACACTATATATATATTTATGAGAAAGATACGTTGTTTCTCAGACATAATGTCAAAATAGGATGGAAAGTTTTCTACGTCTCTGACTAAGGCTTCTTTACCAGTTAAACCAATTTCACCATATACCCATGATGTCCCTGCATTTTAAAAGTATAAACAGTTTCTTTATATGCACACGGCCATGCTACTAATAAAATAAATTGCTTTTGTGATTTGAATCTTCTTCAAATGATCAAAAATACTATATTCTACACAACTTACCATTTGTCCATTTACTCCGGGAGCTCCGGGAACTCCAACAGAACCCTAGGGAGACACATGAGAAGTGAGGTGACTTCATACAACCATTTCAATTCTCGATTTGTATAGTTTGAGTCAGCCATAACTTGACCTTGCTAAAAGATGGTGGGGTGCTAAATTTTACAGATCTTATCTTCAAGTTCAAATATAGAATAATGTGAGCAGATTCATCGAGCTTTCCCAGAAACCATGGCATGAACATTGAACCATGTTTCTAAATATCTATTTAATCTTAGTATGCTTTTAAAGAAACTTGTATTAGAAATCAACATGGCTATTAGAAAATCATGTGCCTCTGCCTTTGGGTACATTTCAGAAATAGGAACAAACCTAGCAGCGGCAGTAACGCTTGAGTTCCAGTAGTTTAAATACCAGAAAATAAAAAGGCAATTAAAAGAATATCCGTTTGTTCCACAAGCAGTCAAATCAGGGGCCTTGGTAAATCTGAGTTCTTAGAGATGGAACATTTTCGACCGAATCTTCAGAATGTTCATTGAGATCACGCAGGATTCTAAATGCCTTGAAAGTAGACTAGAAAAGTCAGATGTTACACAGTGGCAAGCAACAACACTACTTCTGCCCATCAAGTTTTAAGTTACATGTGTATGCGTGGCTGGCCAACACCCTCAGACGTCCATATGCATGGGTGGGATGTATGGGAGTGGCTGGACATATGTGGGGAGACGGGCAGAGTGCTGCCTGTTGAGAAAATCTGTACCACTGAACTGGATACAGGCACTCACAAAAGTTTCACACAGTGATGTCATTTCCCTCCACACACCTTCCTTCAGGCTTTGGAGAAACCATATATAAGTGAAATATGTTCATTCCTTGCTTAGCACTAGAAAACAGATTTTTGAAAGTAGATGTAGAAAATCAAATTTCTTTAATAATAATGAGAAAAATTTTAAGAAGGAGTGATTATAAACCTAAAACTGCCATGAAAAATGAAGGCCATAAAAAAGCATTGTTGTTGTATGCAAGACAAACAGAAATGGCAAGTTCCTCAGAGCTTTCTGTGGTTCTGGGGAGTGGGCGGTCATCTTACCCTAGGGCAGCTTTACAATTTCACACCACACTCAATAGAGACGTGATGGCAGAGTATTCTACCCACAAGCTGCCTCACAAGGCATTGCTTTTACTTGGTTTGTAAGATTAGGTTTCAACAGATACCACATGCCCCGCGCTTACAGGATTATAAGTCTCTTCTTTGATGGATTCCAAAGATAAAGAATAATTTCTTTAACACCTGTTCGAATACAATTGTCTTCTTAGGTCAAATAGCCATTCTTCCTTCTGATGGGGTGGGAGATGTCCCAGGGAACAGCAGCCGGCGTCTACCCCACACTGACGCACTTCCTACTCTAGACCTGAAGTAATTTTGGGGGGTACTAGACCTTCTCCTCTAGAATGTGCTGCTCTATTCTATGGCCATGGACAATGCTGAAACGCCAGCAGGAAGTTACTTTTCAGTCCCCTTGAGCAAAGGGGACATTAGTGAGCCACTCAGCAAGAGCACCCTTTGTTCTGGTCAGTTCTGTGGTCATTTGTGATTCATGTGTTTGACTAAGGCTGCACATTCAATTTGCAATGTGCATGGCCCTTCACAGTCTAAGGTTTGTCAAGATGCTTTACTAGTATTTGAATTAAAAATGTAATAACCCATGAGTTTGGTAGATGGCTTACAAAAAGAATCTGCTCTAGATATATTGGATTTTCTAGAACAAGTTGATTAGAAACTAATGATGCACAGACATGATTGTATTTTTAGAAAGCATGACCTACAGTAGCGAATTCCATTACCTCTCAGGCTAGCCATCAGGCATTGGGACAATAATTACTTTCACAGTATTCATTATACTCTACCTTTTGTCCTGGAGGCCCCAGAGGACCCTAAAAAAGAAAAATAATTCAATTAACATAGTACTGTAACATGACCAACCAAGTAAAACTGTCCTAAATTATAAGGTTCTATTTATTGAAATATGCTGTCTTGGGCTTCAGAGAGAATGAAACTTTTCACTTGGACATTCACAGTGGGACTTTTCTTCTCTTTTGAAGAACATTAAGCATATGCAACAGGATTCTGATTTTTCTTTAAACAAGAGAACTTTTTATTCCAGTGCATCTGTTTCTTTAAATACCTGCAAACATGACATCAATTTCACTGAGAAGCCTGCTGTAAGTAGTTAAAATTCGAGGCAGTTCCCCAGCTGACAGACACTTTATATGATCTGCAAGGCGTCAGTAAGCAGATTAGCAAAGGAAATTCTTGAATAGCACTACAAAGAAGCACGCTGCTTCTACTCTTCCTCTTGTGAAATGTGGTTGACAAACCTACACAAAAATGTGCTTCCAGATCACTAGGGAACCCTAACATCTAATGGGGCATCTAGTGGGTGGGTGACAGAAGAGGTGACAAAAGACACTGTCAGCTGATCCTTAACCTATCAGACTAGAAGTGGGGTGGGGAGAAGCCAAGATGTAGGAACATGAATGGGAATATTTACATATTAAGTGAAAACGTGGTGCTGAGATTCAGCCAACTTTGTTTACAACAAGCCATGGCTTTGGGATGGTGGGTAGAGTGCAAGGAGATCCAGTTATAACACCATGTCTTCCAGCTGAGAAATAATGAAAGAAAAACAGTGATCCCTTTTCTTCCAGTTTGCCTCTCCCCCAACTTTTCAGTTTAGTATATTTGAGCAAATATACTACCTACTGGAAAGAGTTATTCCCTTCACTACACTTAACTGAAGGGGTGTTTTCACGGGTGATGCTTCTGTGACCAACATCTTCCATTCATCCTTGGGCACCATAAGGAAAACATGAGAGTGGCCATAGAGGAAGAACTACCTGGTCATGAGACTTCAGGTTACATTTAAAATTCACAATGTTGAGGAACATTCTAGGAATCACTTCCTTGGATTACTTGGCAGTCCTCACAGGGAGACTATTTCTGCATGTGATCACCTTGAGCAAAGTGAAAGTGTCCTGGGCAAAACCAACTTTCTTTCTTTCTACAGGATCTCCTAGTTAACCAACTTCTCAAAAAGCTTGTCTGACATACCTATAGGGTCAGAGCTTCTCCTGACCTATCTCACTCCTTATGTTAAACTCTGCAGGGCAAACAGAGCCCGTCAGCATACACTGCCCCAACATTCATGCCCCTCATCACTTCCACCCCAGCACAGTAAGGAGTGCCAGCCCTCCAGCACCAGGCGATGCTTCCAGCCACAGCCCTCCAGCACCAGGCGATGCTTCCAGCCACAGCCCTCCAGCACCAGGCGATGCTTCCAGCCAGACTCTGGAATCCATCCTTCCCTGGACTCACAGGCCCTTCTCATTCAATTACCCCTGTCTCCTCATCAGGGCATCCTGCTCTCCCCTGGTTCCTTCCCCTTCCTCCACACCTCCACACACATAAACACGTATAATCATTTCCTCACTCGGGTAAACTGTTTGGGAAACAAACGTTAATGTGCAGGGAAGGCAGAGGTTTGAAGCCATAGTGAGAAGATGTGAGATTGAGTAAAGACTTGGATTTTATCATTGTCTGTGACTCCCTATTTTCCAAGTTGTCTCCAGAGTAATTCATGTCTTAAAATGTTGATGTTAGAAAGGAAATCATAAAACAAAAAGTACATTAATTCAATGTTTATAGACTGTGAATGTGTATGTTCAAAAAGGTTTGTTTCCCATTATAAACCGAACTCTGCCACTTAAATAAAACATTGCTCAGTAAAATTGGATACTTCATGACATGAATGCAGAACGCTGGAAGAAAATATTTCAGACACAAAAGAGAAAATTTTAAATCAAATATCTGAAGTAGAGACTTGCATATCTGGTATTTTTTCTTGTGGCCTTTGTGAAAGGAAGACATTAAACCAGAGATCAAGCAAGTTTCTCACAGCTCTGAAATCCGTGAAATTATATTAGTTGTCCAGTTTAACACCACATTTAATGAAAGTCAAAAGATGGCTATCAGGAACATAAATATTCCTCTTCACTGTTAGGAAACCTGCTATTTTTGCTAAACTCCAAAAATGAAAGCAGTTTTTAAGACAGCACATGCATTCTGAACTGGGAATACATGTCTTGTAGATTATTCATAACCATGTTGCCAAGGACATATTCTCAGCTACCAAAAATGTGTATATTCTTCTTTGATCTCACTGCTAGCAAGCCAGGGAGAGTGTCATTCATTATGGGGAGGGGGGTATGAGGTGTGGGAGGGTTCTAGGAATAAACCAGTGTGGAAGATAAGCACAGACATACATTTCAGTAAGTACAGATACACAGACATACACTTACTTATGTGCTGTTTTACGTATATTCTTATTTTGCTCACATGTAAGTGTTTTGAGTATCTTTAATATTCTTAATAATGTATCCTTAATAGCCCCCGTTGTGTACCGAAGACATTATGGTTATCAAATTTAAGCTTACAAATACTTTTAAAAAACTAGTGAACATTGGTAAAAACAGTGAGGGGGTTCAGGAAGAGGTAGGAAAGAAAGGGACACATCTGAAATAAGGATTTATGGGGAGGGAGGGAAGAACAAGAAGAAAAAAAAATACCAGCAGATTAAAAAAAAAAATCACGGTTACAATGAAGGCTTTTAAAAATTGATTTTAAAACTGGAAGCATTCACTAGTATCTAATAGAAAACTTATTTATATTTTCAGTTCCATAACATTTGGATAAGTTCTTTATTCACTGGCCAAAGTAGTGTCCCTTATTACTCCTAAAATTAAAGTCTATTGTTCTAACATTCTAAGGTTCCTAAAATAATTCCATTCTTGTTATCCTATGCCTCAAATAAGTTTGAATGAAATATTCTTCTAAATCAAAGGTCAACATTTTTAGTTCATTCTTACTAATCAATGAATTGCTCCTTTCGTAGGCATTTTCTTGGAAGGCACCTTTATATTTGTGTATACTTGGTACACATCCAGTGAAGATGGAAATCCATGGGCCTATTTTTTTTCAAAATAACTTCTTTATATATGTTACAAGATTTAAAAAAATAGCTGAGACTAGATTCTCAACCTATTAGGTGAGATTTCTCTAAGTTTGACACAGAAAGTGTTAAACTGTGATTTGAATCTTTCTCTGGGTGACATAAAGTATATGAACTCTTTTTGTTGAAGGATTTCGCCTAATGGACATAACTTTATTTAAAAGACAAACATCAAACAAGCCTTTGGGCAAATCTAAGAATGGAAGAACAACATCACTTACAAGAAGATGAACTCCTACACCAAAGTTCTCACGATGCTTCAGAAAATACTAGAAAGAGCAAGCTGAGTGAATAGTCACCAACGGGTCAGAAATTATAGAGCTGTCCGGTGTCCTTTCCTGCCTTTCCCATGCCCACTAGATTTCATATCTAAAGTTGATGTAAATGATGGGGGGCACGGGGTGAGCAAATAAGTCCAAGCAATTCCATGGTTCCAACTTTGTAGGATGACTGCCTTTACCAAAAGCATCCCCTGCACCGGACAGTGATTCTTTACCCTCCAGCTCCACCAGCTACAGATTCAAGATCATCCCTCTGGCCCCTCTATCCAGCCCCATCACCATGCGCTGGTCAAGCCCTCTGCCTCACCTAGCAAAGGTGGCAGTAACTGGAGCCACTCTAGTCTCCGGCCACTTTCTCACAGCGCCTGGAATGAGCTTGCACCAGGCTATGAGGGGGATACTTGTCTTCTGCAGAGCCATCTTTCAACAGCTTCCAAGAGTTTTTGGGGAAAGATAATAATGATATTTGGCCACATAAGCCAAACTTTCACATCACAGCACCTCCACACTTTGTTGAATGTTCTCATAACGGGCTCTTGTTCTAGTCCTTGTCTTGTTCTAGTCCTCCCTCCTCACCTACCTCCTAACCCAGGGCTCTGCAGCCCCTCCTCGAGCTAGCACCTCTTCTGTTCTCCAAGACAACCACCCCAACAACAGTGCTTCTTCCATAGAATCTATTGTGAGTAGTGTCACTGATCAGTTGCTTCTTTTTTTTTTGCTCTAAGTGTCTTTTCTCATGCACAGTAGCTGGCACATGTTATTGCTCACCGTATCCTTTTGAGTTCATTCATCCACTTAATAGTTTTCGGCTGTTCACCCCATGCCAGACACTGTCTAGAGCCTGGGATCAGAGCAATGAACAAGAGAGAGGCACGCCTCCTGGCCTGCACACGCTAGCAAAGGGGAAAGACAGCAGACATGTAAAATATAAAACTGTGTTGGGTGGGAAGTGCTAAAGCAAACGGGGGAGAAGAAGATGGAGTGTTTGAAAGTGGGGTTCAGTGAAGGCTTCAGAGATAGTGACTTTTGGACAGACTTCTGAAAGAGTCAGGCAGATAGCCGTGCCTGCAGATGGGGGGAGAATGCTCCAGGCAAGGGGACAACCAGTACAAGGGTCAAAGGGTGAGCGGCAGCTGTTGTATTCCCCAGGTGACTCAGGTGGGTGGTAGACGATGGGATGGGAGGTCACGTGTAGGCCTGTGCAGGGATGTGAGTCCCTGGTATTGAGAATTATAAAACTGATGGGTAGGAATACATGAACATATAAAGCCAGTCAAGCTTTTTCTTACACTACAGATGACAGTATCTCAACGTACTGCCTTTGCCAGTGTGATTCTGACACCGCTGCCCACGCCTATTCGCCTCTTAGTAAGTACAGTATGAGTCAAGGATTCAATTCTTGGTTTCTATGTTAGAACAGCAAAGCAGGAGCTGTCCTGAGACGGTCTCATGGCCACAGGGTGTGGCAGATGTAGATGTGGGTCTAGACGTCAATGCGCCATGGAAATCCATTATGCAGTCTGGTAGAGTGACCCACCCAGTTGGAGCTTCAAAGCAGGCAGCTAAGCAATGAGTGCTTGTAGTT